CCAGAATACCCCCTTATTAGAAAGTTGCCAAAAATAAGTAATGGTTACTAATAGAAAAGTCTGTAAAATTGTTTTGTCATGCAGAAATCAAAGTAACTGACACTTGTGTGCATTTAAATGTCGACGTATCAACTACTTTTAAACAAAGAACTCTCAAGAAATAAAAATCACTTTTAATGCAATATTTTAAAAGTCTTGGCTCTGATCTGAACCCAGACCTACCTCACATTTTTAGGAAGCATTAAAAAGATAGACAACTTGTCATCCAAAAGTACATATTTAAAGTAAAGTTGTTTATAACATATTCAATTAGTCGAAAAGTCAGAGTTAAGATCAGGTAATGATGTAACAGGTGGGCCATTTGTTGTGTCGCTTACTGTTATTTGCAACACAGGCAAACAAAAATGTATTTCTTTAAATTTTATGCTCTAAAAAAAAGTGTCAAAATGAACAGATATTTTGCATCTTGATGTGCAACACAGCCTTAATAGAAGGCAAAAAGTCAGTGCTAATTAAAAGTTTGCAACAGAATTGTTGGATTATTGCACATCCATAGTGACCATAATATAAAAAAATGGAACTGCTCTGCTCAGCTGTAAATTCTCCACCTTAGACATACACTTATGTTTAATTTCTGATATAAAAAATATGATTCTGAGTACAATGAGAATAAACCATCTTATCATATAACAGAAGAGACATTTCTGTCATACCGACACACTTTTCATCGTAACTGCAAAGAAAGACTTTTGGGAACTGAATTATTAACACGTCATATTAAACTGGAGAGGAAGCAAGCTGACTTAAGCCCAGCACCTCATTGATTTACTTCCTGAGCAAAGATCCTTATCAGAATGAGAATCACATTTAGTGAAGACTTTATGTTGCTTCAATCAGATAGCTCTTCAAAATAAAAGACAAGGCTACTTTTGTTGCAAGTATGAATGCTTCTTGAAAGCCACTTAAGCCCAGCTGAAGCAGAAAAGCATCCAGAATCTTAAAAGGGAAAAGTATTTCTCACAACCATAGACTTAATACTGACGAGGCTGTTAAGATGATAATCTGAATATCATTTTAGATTCTTTAATTCTGATTAAATTAAGAGCAAACTTCAAGTTCATGTCTTAAGTGTTAGTTTACAAAATAAGTAGAATAAGAGTTCTTTTTTATTATCACAACAATAGTATTTTTTTTCTATCACTTAAAATAATTTTAAATAATTGGCAGGTATCATCCAAGGAGTAAATGTTAAAAATGCAAACACTTTTCATATAAGTGCATTTTTGGGCTTATTGACGTTTTCATTTTGTTAAAATATGTTATTTTCAAAAAGATAATAAAAAGAAATAAAAGGACATTTGGGGGGAAATGGATTAGAAAGCTAAGTGAAAAAAAAGCATGCATTCATGTTTAAAACAATGAGACAATCCTTGTTTTCTTATTTTTGTCCATTGTATTCTACAGGTACTGAATCCTTATAGCAAGGAATTAAATGGAATGAGGACAGTTGCATAATTTTTGTCCATAATTCTAACTTCCCTGAGTAGTTTTTTTCTGTTTCATTTTGTTAACTTGTACATTACATTTAATTTATTTAGTTATTTTTATTTATTTATTAGTTATTTTAGCTCCAGTGAAAAAGTCAAAGATATCTTTGCCCAAAGAATAAAAGTTATTAGAGAGTTATGCATACAGTTAAACTTTAGAGTACCCTAAGCCGACAAAGAAACACCTGTAGACATAAAGCGACTCCCTTTGATTAAAAGATGTAACCAACTTAACAAATGGTTCCGCAGTGATTTTCTCAACTTTTAATTTTATGCAGAAATCAAATTAAATTTTAAACATGAAATCTGAGAATCCAAGGTTCCTCTAAATCTTCCTACCGCCAGAAACACCAACCACAACATCCGAGTATTTACAAAGAATGCTTCTTAATCTCAAACTTTGCCGCAGACTTTAAAAGAAATCAATGGTTTGTTTCAGACGTATCAACGTCCTACTTGACCAGCAGTCCTCTGTCCCATTTTAACCAGCCTTGTCAACAACATTGGCAGAAATACTTCAGTACACCAACAAAGTGCGCTTTCAGAAATCAGCTGCCAGATATACTTGCACAGCCCAACAGTTTTTACAAGCAAACACTAGGGTGCCTGTAAAAGCATTTCTCCGAAATAAGGTGGGCTCACAAACAGCAGCCGACACACACCGCCTGTGTCTCTGTGAGCGTGGAATGGTAAATATTTCTGAGCATGTTCATGAACGTCATGGTGTGACTGTAACTCTGTGTGTGAACATTACTTCAAAGGGTTAACCACTTTTTCTTTTTTTTTTCTTTTTTTTACTGGAAACCAGCTGGACTCATGGCAGGGACAGCCAGTGCAAGTTGGGACTTGATGACTTCATCGCTGTTGTGTAAAATGTAGGGCTGGCAGCAATGACCACTGTGTGACAACACTAGCACCCACTTCTTACAGTCTTTATCAGCCAAACAGTACATCTGCTCTACTGGCCTAAACGAATAGCACTTAAGTGTTCTGATTAATTAGTTCTACAGGCTCCACTCTGCGTTGATGATTTACTCAGTTATTTATTTAAGCAAGGAGGTCCCATGGTCAAATCATTTTTTCTATGGGTGTGCTGCAGACAGATAAAGAAAAAAATAAAAAAGGTGGAGAGGATCAAGAAATAAATCTAAGATTCTGAACATAAAGTGATGAACTGATGGCGAGATAAAAATATAAGTTGATAGCCCTTTTGAATCAACTAACCCAAAGCAAACTGGTGTTTTAGCTTTTATTTTCAATACTATTCACAGGGCACTTGCTGAATACATAGAAACCCCCAAAAGGCAACAAAATTTGGTGCTTCCACCAACTACAATTCTCTGTGGACTTGTCGTTTGTTTCCAGCTTCATTTGTGTTTGCTAATTAATAAGACAATATCTGTTATAGGGTTTTTCTTCTGTTGCATCGAGGCTGTTTATTATCCTGCAGAGTAGGGGAAGACAGCAGCTTGGCTGAGCTGATTTATGATTTATGATTAACCAGAAAAATCAATTCTTCCTCAGATTTAAAAGAGAGAAGAGCAGATTATTTAGTGAATTTTAGGGATTGAGATGGGATAAATTTAGATTTATTTTGTTTAAAAACTAAAAGGTTGACCCCCAATCTAGCAGAAACCTTGTCAAATAGGGTAGAAAAAAAACAACAAGGCACTGTAGGTACGATTGCACACATAAAGAAACACTTGACAGCAATTGTGTTAAGTGGCAGAGAAGCAGTGTCCTTCAAAAATATTCATAACTGGTATACAGTTTAACATTTTTCACATTACCCTCGAAATACTTAATTTGAACATCATATAACAGATTCCAAAACAGTTATTAAAAAAAATTCACTGGACTTGTTTCCAAGTTTGAAGACTTTGCGCTTTCCATCAAAGAAGCTTTTTTAATTAAAAATGTTAGAATTAGCATTAAGTTTGAGGCAATATAGAGTAGACCAAAACAAAGCCTTGTTTGTTGAACCGGAAGAACGGATCCACCCCTTAGGAATGGGGAGCCATTGGGGTTCTTTGTTAGCCTGCACTACCCGATACTGGTCTATGCCTCGGAAAGGGGGTACTTAGGGAGAACTGTTGGCCTGGCTGAACGGGCGAGATGTTCTGGTCCCTTCTATGGGGGTGGGGGTTGTGATGACAGCGGGAAGGAATCAACCATCGCAGCATTGTAGGTTTTTTAAAATGACAATGACTTGAAAGACTACGAATCTTCACCAGCATTTTATAACAGAGCAACACAAAGTAGTAAATCATTATAAAATGTATTTCTTTTTTTTAAAATGCTCATTTCTATTTGTCCTTTTCATTCATAGGCATGTATAACTTAATCTTGATAAAGATCCTGCTGTTCTATGGGGACCTTAGAGATTTATTAGAAAACACTGGTAAAAAAAATATATATATAAATATATATATATAAATATAATATATATAATGAAGACAAAGGTACAGGTCATGAACAAGCCTTCCAGAGATCCCTGGTAATTTAGGAGTAGCTGCAGAGACCCACAGATAACTGGCAGGATCACCTGTTTACAGCACAACTAATGATGGTGAACGCCACATTTCTGGCTTTGATGAAATAGTGTTAGGAGGAAAGAAATTGTTAAAAGAAAAACAGAGCATTTCCTAGCCAGCAGTTGCTGGTAGAGGTCTCCCATTTGGTCTTGGGACGCACTGTCCTTTATGCTTTTGGCGTCTCTCTGCTACTGTTCCCCCAACTTAAATGAACAAGGAAATGTATATATTTCTGCAGAACTCAATAGCTTGCTAATGAGCTACTATTATAATCTAAGTTGGCTACACTAGAATACAGCAGCAACAAATCTAAAACATACAGTACAATGGGCCCAGAGGTCAGTGCTCTGTGTAAGACTGATTAAGGGGACATAGACAGAGGACATGTAGAAATTGGTGTAGTTGAAGAAGCCAAGACAGAGATCCAATTAAGACTCTGTGGCAAGATTTGAAAAACGGATCCCCAGATGCCTTCTATCTAATCTGACCGTGCTACTCTGGAAAGAGAAGTTGGAAAAGGTATCAGACACTTAGGTATGCAAAGCCTGTGACAAACTATTGCAGAATAGGCTGTTTCTACAAAGTATTGACCCATGAGGGCTGAATACAAATCAAGTGTTTGGTGCACATTCAAGTCATATTTATGCTTTGTTTTAAACAATCATTTTCCTTCAACTTTACAGTTTTTGCCTCAGGAATCGTACACACACAAAGTCTAAGTAAAAAGTATTGTATTGAAAAAAAAAATTGTCTTTAAATGTTGTAATAAAGATCCATTGACTCCCATGCCCAGTGTGCTGTAGGATTCCAGCTGCATGCTGGGGACCGGATGTCAACACATCAGCTGACAAAGTGATAAACGGGGGTCTCTGGTTGAAGGATGACTTAAGTTAGGTGAAGTGTTGGTGCCGGTTTTTACCTCTGCAATGAGGCCCCTCATCCCAGCCATCCGAACAATCAGGGACTCCGTCACACAGTTTGCTCATATGGATGCAGACGTCCATGTCCAAGCAGCCATGTTCATTGACAGGGCACTGGTTTGGCCTGTTGTGTGAGCCTGGAAGAGGAAAAAAAAAAAAAACATCATTAGGGCACCTAAGCTTAAACATGTACAAGACTTTGATTTCAAAGTCCTTGCACGTCTCACAAATAAAACAAATAAATAAAACACGAAAAGGGAAGGGTTAGTGAGAATGACCAGTCTTTAATTCTAAAGACAATAAAAGCATCCATGCATATTGATAATTACTTTCTTTACTGCTCCTCCAGAAGAACCCCCAAAAAAGGAGCTTTCTGACAGATAACATTACATTTCTAACCTGTATCAGACACAGTAACAAATGTGTTTACAAGCAGGCACTGCTTATATGTTGTATATGCTGGATGCAACATTGCAAAGGATCAGTGTAAGCAATCCTGAATGTGAATATTTGCATGAAAGACAAAAAAAAAACTGAACATTAAAAATAGATTTTTTTTTCTAAACAGATTTAACATATGAATTTGAAAAAGATGCTTTCCCCTTTGCTTTCTCTCCCTCCCACTCTTCACTCTCTCCTTTCAGCCCACACTGCAGAGCAAACAGTTTGCCTTGGCTGTTTTCTCTTCCTCTTCTTTCTCCTCCTCTCATTTTTTTCCCCTTTCTAACATCTGCTGACCCATTTTAGAGCAACACTTGGAGGAGGAAAAAATAAAGATCATCTCACTTTAAAGGAAATGGCACGTAGATTTCCAAGCAGCAAACATCTAAAGCTGTGCAGATTTACATGTCTCTTTCCAATAGACTAGTTGGAAACTAGAGTCTAAAATGCAGCTTTACTTATCTGCATTTCTGATTATACAAGAATGAAGTTCATGTCAACTTAGAGCCCAAACACTATGTCTTACTACAGTGCTGTGAAATTATTTGCGACCAAATAGATTTCTTGTGGTTTGTGAGTTTGTTTGTTTTTTGTCACACCCACAAGTTTAAGGTCAAAAATCCAATATATTATTGAAGAGAAATAACCTGAAATGCATGTTTTAATAAATTATCATGAATTTTTACAGTAGTATTCAGGCGTTGGCCCATTCTTTTTTGCAAAATTGTTTTAATTCTATTGAATTTAAGGTGTTTGTAAGGGTGAATTCTCTGGGTCAATATCAAACCACTACATCTCAATTAGATTTTGGTTCAGACTTTGACTAGGCCATTCTTTTATGCACAGAGACAAATTTGCCCTATTTACACTACCCCTCTGAAATCGATCCGTGCCGAGTTCACACCAAGCCATGCAGAGCTTGATTCTTATGACCATTTACACATAAAGCTAGCATGGTTCCGTGCCTCAAATCGGCCGTCCACGATACTACAGCTCCCAAGGCGGGAATTATGCAAACTAAAATGGGAACTCCCATAACATTCAGGAAGTTATGTGCCTGGATAGCCTTGGTCTTTGGTCTTGGTCTTTATTCCAGGTCGCAACACGCTCTTTTGATGCCATTTATTGTTAATAGGCTGAGAAGAAGCTGGTGTTGTGAACAGGTAAAAGAGATATGTGAATTGCAAAACCTGATATGCTGGAAAACCCGCAGAATGAGTCAGCTGACTGTAAAAAGGAGATGACGTGGTCTGCTCATGCGCTCTTTGTTATCAGAGAACCGAACCACAACTGAACTGAGCCGAGCCCTACTGTTGAAATACTACTACATTTAGAGCGTATTGGTTGTGTCTGGCAATGTCCGGTTTAGTTGTGTTCCATTTAGACTCAACAGTTATCTTGGTTATTGTGCTCCGACTGTTCTCGGCCCTGTTTCAAAAGGATGACCAAGAGGTTTGAAATGGGGCTTTTTAAAGTAGGTGGACCCAGGGGTGTAGTTTAAAATCACCATCCTGCTGCAAAACCCAAGAGTGTTTAAGGGTAAGGTCAGACAACAACATTAGGATGTTCTCCTTAACGATTTTAAAGCAGAATACAAGGTTCCGAATTAATGTAATGGGTGCATGTTTTTAGAAAGCGAAGCTGGCCCAGACCTTAACATTACCCCAGGGGAACTTTTACTTTAAAATAAGATATACTTTTGAAAACATAACTTGTGTTTCATTTTTTTCTCTCAACAGTCTTTGATATCAAAATATATATATATATATATATATATATATATATATTTGAAAATCTGAGCCAGACTGTGAGTTGTATTTAGTTGGCAGGGGTTTACGCCTTGAAACTAACATGGCCGCCATTTTGCCCCAATTTGTTACTTATATTAAAGGAGCACTGACCTTAATTAAGGTGACAGTCAACAGCAGTGCACTACATGTTATTCTAAGTCCTTCTATGACGTCCCGGATGAGTCATGGATACAATCTTGGAGTTATTTTGGTAGGCTGGCAACTCGAAAAAGTATGCCACTGCTCCATGTTTTTATTAAACTTGGATAATGATTCAAACTGAGATTTTTACTGAAGCCCATAGCCTAAGAAATACTTTAAAAGACTGAAAGATGTCAGGACAAATTTTCTGTGGAGTAATTCTGTTAATGTAATGAAAAACATTTTTTTCATCCAATTGGGCTGGCAGTAGACAGTCCTACTGTAGGTGTGCCAAGTGAAGCTGAACCAAAAATGTAGTTGCCGTTAGTCAATTCAAAATTCAGCAAAATATACCATTCTATTTATATTGGACCAGTTTTAATTGATTGATCTTTTTACTGAATGGATCAAATCATAAGCTCTTTCGTATAAAGGTTATATAAAACATTTCGGATTGACAGGATTCAAAATCCGAAGCAATGTGTGAGGGAATATAAAATTTAAACATTGCAAATAATTGGGTTTACAGTTCAATACAGAAATGAGTGAATGCTCTTAAAAGATATAATAATAAAAAAAACATTAACAGCTTGAGTATTGACACTGAAAGTATCCTCTTTGCACCTTTCAGACCACAATTTTTTACTGTGTTATAACAATTGCTTTTGACATAAGCTTAAAAAGATAATCTCACCACAGAAACCTTTGTGGAAAAAGCAGCACCACACAGAATCAGAGAATTAACTTCTAATACATGTGGCTTGTGGAAAAGGGGGATGTTAGCATATTAGCAGCCCTCCTACAGATCAGGTCTCTAAGCCAGCCTCATTTACATTCAATAAACTGCCAACATGGGGATTTTTACATAAATGGAAAATACCAAGAAAAATCACTCAACCCTGCTAAGGGCTTAGAATCTGCAACTTTTTGAGGGAAGTATATAAGACAAGTGGGACTGAAAGTCATTCAAATGACATCTGCTACAAAAACTTGTGTCTTTACCAGCTAAACTTGTAAGTTAGCACTCAGCGTTCTGATGGCCCATTCAGTTCGTCCTACATGCAGACACTGGAAAGTAATTCACCTAATATCAACGTTACACTAAGACAAAAAGAGCTTCTCTTTTGTACAGTTCTATGATTCTAACACAGAATTACTTTAAATTAGTACTAAGCTCCTTACTACGCTGTCTAATGGATTGTTTCACATCTGACCTGAATAACTGTGCAATGAAAACTAGAGATGCATGGTTAAATTGACTGGGGACCAGAAAGGGACAGTCTTCTGCTTGATCAACTCTGGACAACGGCCAGCTGTTCTAGTATCTTAGTAGTATCTAGTATCTTATCCTATCATAAAAAAAAAAAAAAGATTATATTGGAACCAGCCAAAATCAGAACGGTTAGGTTAAAGCTTCAGAGATCAGAAATAAACCACCAAATTATGAGCAGTGAATTTTGTAAGAGAAAGTTCTGTAATACAAAACAAGAGCCAGTAGAATTGTCTTTTTTTTTACTAGTTAAAGGTTTCAGATCCAAATCCTTGTTTTTTCCTTTTTTTTAGGAGCCAGAATCCACTTTAGTGGTCCAGTTTGTGCAAGACACACACGTTTTAATATTTATACTTTTTAGGAAATGGAATACTGAATAAAATAGAAAATTCTGCATGCAAACCCAAAACACACACACACAAAAAAAGTAAAAATTTAATTATGCTTTTTTTGTTTAACAATGGAGAAGTGGACTACTCAGGCTGTAAGACATTTATTGTATTCATCAGTCTGAAAAAAATGATCTCACTTATTCCTTTACTATTTTCAACCTTACCAGTTTTTGTAGTTTTTTTTCTTTTACAAGACTACTTCTTCTATGTATCTGGGGACATAACATACCTGTATGAGTTAAAGGAATTTAAAAAATACATTTACTTTTAATAAATATTTTAAAATGACAAAAACAGAGCTAAATATGAGACATAGAGGTTTAGCTTATTGATAAAACAAACCATGTCATAGAACACAATATCATAGAATTCAACAGAATTGTCATTACACTGTCACAACTACAAAGCAACGAAATGAACCCTCTGCATTTAACCCATCCCCTTGAGGGGCAGTGGGCTGCCATTATGTGGCGCCCGGGAGCAGTGGGGGGGTTAAGGGTCTTGCTCAGGGACCCAGAGTTGCAGTCTGTGGGAGTTGGGCTTAAACCTCTGGGACCCAACCGCAATGCCCCAACAACTAGGCCACCACTCTCCTCAAACAACATCATCAAAGATAGGAATAAGTGCTTCTAGTACAAGGTGTAATTAGCCAGAAGTGATACATGCAAAATGTAACACTGCTCTTAGAGATATAGTTTGTGAAAATGTTTTCTTTGTCCTCCTAGAAAGTTCAATTGAACAGGAGGTGCTCTGACTGCTTGTGATTCCCTGTAACAGCACCTCGGACTGTCCAACCAAGACCGACCAAGCATCTAATTGAGTCAGACTTATGCAAATGCAGACATGGTGGCGGAGTTAAAGATATCCACTTTAGGGAAAATAGAAACTAAAGTGGTCAAATTGCACTGTAAGCTAATTGGTAATATAGAGCTTTTGCTCACATTTTGTGAAAATACGGCCAGTCAGACATATGCTAGCGAAACATTTAAACAGTACAATTTATCCAAGTTAAGGACTCTGACAGAGTAAAAAATGAAAACATAAAACTGCAATCTTGCTGGAGCTTGTTTGTGTTTGCTTACAGACCAGCATAGTGTAATGGA